TTTTTTTCAGTGAGAAGATCAAAGTCAGAACCTTGCATGTACCGGGGAAGTGCTCCCCAAGCTGAGTTATCAGTATATCAACAGTGATCAAAACAAGGGCCCTCTATATAGTCTGGCTATGGGTGTCTCTTCGCACACTCATAGGACAAATACTAGAAATGAAGAATTGCATTATCCACCAAATTGAAGGACCTTGAACAATGGTTATAAGGCAGTTTGCTAGGTCTGGTTTCTCCTTTCTTCTGAGACTTGTGTGAGCATTGGATCATAACAGACAAATCACACCATCATGTACTTAAGGAGTCCCATTATGGTATCTGACTTCATATGAGTCATCACTGTAGATTTCTGGTTCTTTTAGTAGGGAGTACACGCTGGTGACCTACTTGGCATCTCCTGAGTGTCCACTTGAGAACTGAACATCTCATGCTGCCCTAGGACTCTGAGCAGTGCACAACATGCTCCGAGTCATTCTCAGAACTGCTGGGAAGGCTTTACTGTAACTTTACTTTTGAACTCATATTTAACGCTTTTTTTTTTTTATCAAATTGTAATCACATACCCTTACACTGAGGTAGGGTAGTGCCATTGTTAATGAGCACTGTATTTAGAAAACTTTTCGAGTAAACTTAAGAATTCATGTTTCTTTCACAAACTACAAACATTTATTGACTTATTGTCCTTTCAATTAAATATTTTTATTTTATTTTTATTTTATGTGTATAAGTGTTTTACCTGCATGTATATAAGTACATGTGCACAGGCAATGCCCACAGAGGCCAGAAGAGGGCGTTGGATCCCCTGGAACTGGAGTTTTGGATTGTTGTTAGTGGATGTTAGTAACTGAACCGTGTCCTCCATTAGAGCAGTCAGTGCCCTTAACCACTGGCCATCTTTCCCGCCCCAAGAAGACAGGCATCCTTTCTAATGTTCATCCTTTTCTTGAATATCAGTGTTGGAGTCTCCAGCTTAACTACTTCACCCTCCTACACAGTTTGACTTGGCGTCAGAGTCTTTTCTTTATTGTCCTTTAGCTTCTGGGCTTCATAATACTGTGACCTGGCTGAGTTTCACCTTTGTTTCTTCCTTTCTCCTCTTCCAAGCATCCAAGGGAAGAAAGAGCAGCCATCAATAATATTCCTAAGGTTTGCTCTCCTTCTGAATTATAAAATGGTTTGGAGAAGAATTATCAGACTACTACTTTATTTTTGAGTCAGGGTGTCAAATGTCACAAGTTGGCCTCAAACTCACTATATAACTGAAGATGACCTTGAAAATCTGATTCTCTGCCTCCACCAGATACATGCGTGTATCACCATGTCCGGTTCAGGTAGTGATACAGTTTGAACTCAGGACTTCCTGTGTGTTAGGTAAACACTTTCCCCATTGAGCTATGTCCCCCAGTTGTATACATTTTGGAGAGAACAGTACCTTTTCAGGCAAGGAGAAGCTTTGAGACAAATTCTTGCTATGTAGTCTAGGCTGACCTAGAACTCAAAATTCCCTTGCCTCAATCTCCTGAGTGCTGAGATGACAAGAATGTAACACCATGACTGAATGTTAAGGTTTTTGATTTAAATGCAACTGTAGCAGTGGCTTAGCTTACTTGCCAATTTTAGAGAGCTGCTTTTTAGAGAAGTGAATCTTATTTCAACTGACAAATTTTAAATAACATTAAAACATCTGAACTCTTTTAAAGATACTAAAAAGAAGCAATTATATTTAATTAGGTATTGCATATTTATCTTCAAATATATTTTAACTTTAAAATAAGATTATATATATATATATATATATATATATATTTTGTCTTTTTGAGACAGAGTCTTTCTGTAGTCCCAGTTGACCTGAACTCATTATGTAGACCAGGCTGGCCTTGAACTCACAAAGATCCACCTGCCTCTGCCTCCCAAGTGCTGAGATTAAAGGCGTGTGCCACCATGCCTGGCAAGATTATATTTTTATATAATTATAAAATTACAGAAATGACTTGACTTAAAAAATCAGTGATAATGAGGATATTGCTAACATATTTTTAGCGCATGTGATGTTGTTTTCTATCCATTCTTTCTTCCATCAATTCTCCACTCCTTTTTTGATGTCCGTGTGTGTTGCAGCCAAGAATAGTAAATACAGGACAGTACCAGTGCTTGAGAAAGCCAGGTAGGTTCAGTTTTTAAGGAATGTCCCAAAAATAGAGGATCACTTAGGAAGAAAATATATTCATGCCAATTAACAGGAATTGGAGAAAGAACGAACTCATCTTATGGAGGATGTGACTGCGAACAAAAGGAGGATGAAGGAGCTGGAGGATAATTTGCTTTACCGCCTGACGAGTACTCAGGGGTCCCTGGTGGAAGATGAAAGTCTCATTATTGTTCTGAGTAACACCAAAAAGACGGCTGAGGAGGTGACACAGAAGCTGGAAATTTCTGCTGAGACAGAAATTCAAATTAACTCAGCCCGGGAGGAATACCGGCCTGGTGAGTCTGGTAATGAAAGACAAATGTCACAGGAAATGGAGAGAGAAAGAAATAAAGATTAGAGAAACTCATTGAAACGGGGACATCAAACCAATCACTGAGAACATAGGGTGGCCTATGATCTGTGCTGTTTCTTTTGAGAACTTTAATAAATTTGAAGTGAAAAATTATGTAATAGTGTAATATTTCTAGATTCTTGAAGGCTGTGGTAGTTGGAAAATGCTTTAAGATACTCGTGACCTTATTTTAAAATTCTACTTTTATTTTTTATGTGCATGAGTGTTTTGTCTACATCTAAGTGCACCATATGTGCAATGCCTACAGAGGCCAGAAGAGGGCCTTGGATCCCCTGAAATCAGAGTTACAGTTACAGAGTTCACCACGCACGTGTGTGTGTGTGTGTGTGTGTGTGTGTGTGTGCTAGGAACCTAACTAACCTGGGTCCTTCTTCTGCAAAAGCAGTCAGTGCTCTTGACTGCTGAGCCATCCCTCTGGCTCCTAAACTTATTTTAAAATGAGAGATTTGAAAAATACTACTCCAAATTAGTGACATCTGAGGAATTAGTGTGCCACTGTGAACAGTTCATTAGTTCTTTATCACTTAGCAACAAATGCATCAGTATTTTGTTTATACTCTTTGCATAAGGAAGTTTCTCTCTGGTGTTCTTTAACTACATATTTGAAAATAGATGTTCATTGGTTATTTAAGGAATCTAAAATAAATATTCAGTTGACTATCTTTAGTGATATACCATTTTCCTGAAAAAAGAATTTAAGTCATATCATCTCCTGTGGAGAGTCAGGAGTATCAGTTTTGAGATGCCTTGTTTTGTAAACTTGAGGCCAAAGTTATGCACGAATTCTCAGGAGCTTCAGGATAAGGCTCTGTATGACTGACTATATCATTTGCTACATGTTAAATATGAAAACTTTAAAATTCCTTTGTTTTTCTATCTATGGTAAGACATGGTACAGAATATTTATAAGGGGCATAGTGGTTCTAAAATGACAAGTACTAGCTTAGTTTCACAGGAGCCATCTGATAAATAAAAATAGCGAAAATACTTGTGTAAAGCTTATACATAAGAATTAAATATGCTGGGGGCTGGAGAGATGGCTCAGCAGATAAAAACACTATTTATGCAGAAGATCCAGGTTCGAATCACAGCTCCCACATGGCAGCTAACAACTGTCCGTAAATCCAGTTCCAGGGGATCTGACAGCCTCTTCTGACCTCCATGGGCATTGCACGACATGGGTGCACTTACCGATGTGCAGGCAACACACGAATACACATAAAATAAAAATAAAAAATAAAAAAGAAATATGCTAATAGAAGGGCATCACTCTAGATCCTCGTGTATGAGCAGTTACTGATGGAAAACAAAGGCTGTGTTCACTAGCAGTTTAGGGTGGTGTATTTGCACGGCTTACTTATTTTCTGCTCTCTGACCGTGTGCAGTCTTGTTCTTTTGTCTTTCAGTTGCTACTCGGGGCAGCATCCTTTACTTCCTCATCACTGAGATGCGCTTGGTTAACGAGATGTATCAGACTTCGCTCCGCCAGTTTCTGGGCTTGTTTGACCTTTCCTTGACCAGGTACATCGGGGTGTACCAGACAGAATTCTTGATGTGTCTGAGAACGATGATGTCAGGAGTTTCCTTGTTCTTTGTTAGTCAGTGTTTTCCTTCCCTAAACTGAACATTAGCATAATTACCGCCAGGTTAACAAATCATTCTGATTTGTCATCTTATGCCCAGCGAAAGCTAAGCTGACCATTCACCCATTCATTTCATTCCTTTGGTTTCACGTGTTCTGCTAAACAAGAAAATCTCTGAGACATTGTTGTGAGTGGAAATGCCCTGAGGGTAAAATTGATTTAGACCACAGTGAGGAATTCTGTTGTTATTTCATGTTGAGAGAATGCTTGTTATTTTAGATTTAGGAGGCTTCTTTTGATGTTTAAAAATAAGAACTGGTCCTTCAAAGTTACCTTTTCCTCATTAGAGATGCTGTTTTATAGACAATTGCAAAGGGCTGGGAGATAAGCCTGTCTTAAAAGGTTTCTTCCTCAGATCTGTTAAGAGTCCAATTACAAGCAAGAGGATTGCTAATATCACTGACCACATGACCTATGAGGTTTTCAAGTATGCTGTCCGAGGCTTATATGAAGAACACAAATTTCTGTTCACTTTGTTGCTAACCCTAAAGATTGACATCCAGAGGAACCGAGTCAAGCATGAAGAGTTTCTCACCCTTATTAAAGGTCAGTAGAAAGTACTATGTGCAGTACGGCTGTCAGGATTATTGTGAAGGATTTGTGGCATTTTATTTTATTTTTCAGTCATAATAGATTCCCTGAATTTCATTTACAATGTATCTGTGTGAGGTATTTTATCTGCTCATTTATTGAATAGTGAATATTTATTGAAGGTCTACGTGTCTCAGGGAATGGAACAGACATTTCAGTCTGTGTAGAGTGCCTGTGTTTCTGGGGAATGTAACAAATAAGTAAAATATGTATTACATTTGAAGCTAGTAAACACTATGGTAAGAACCACAGGAAAGTGGTGTCTTAGTTACTTTTTTGTTGTTCTGATAAAATACCCTGACAAAAACAACTTAAGGGAGAAAGGGTTTATTTTGGGTCAAAGTTCCAGCTACACTTAACATGGTGGGACATCAAGGCAGAAGAAACTTGAAGCTGATTGTCACATCGCATCCAAAGTCAGGATGTAGGGAGCAGTGAATGCCTGTGCTCAGCTGGCTTTCTTCTTTTTATACAGTCCAGGACCTACATTCTGCCTGCTTTTAGCGTGAGTCTTCACACCTCAATTAACCTAAGCAACATATAATCTCTTGCAGGCATGCTCAAAGGTTAAGTAATCATTTATAGGTATCTCTGGAGGTTTGTCTCTTAGTGTCCTAGATGGCTCCAGATCCTGTCAAGTTGATGACACTAACCATCATAGAAGGGCCTGAGGAAGGTGGGGAATTATATAAGGTATAAGTGCCATTTAACACTTCAAATGAGGTATTTACTTGGTTCTGCAGTAGAGTAGAACTTCCTCAGAGATTGGCAGTTGATCAAAGTTAAGGGACAGTGGCTATATGAAGATTTAGAGGAAGAGTGTCAAAGGCAGGGGAGATAACATAAAGACTTTCAATGGGAGTAGGTGTGATGTGATGGAGACATAGCCAAGTGACCAGAGGCTCACTATGTAGCTCGTCACATCCATTATTTATTTTACATCTATTAAAGCACTGGTCACAGGTAGATCCTTTAGGTTAATGGAATATACAGATGAGTGAAAGACTGAGAGGGATACTGATTGGTCATCAGTATTGGTTTTTGGTCATTGGTTTTATTTTTTAAAGATTTATTTTTATTTTTAATTATGTATATATGTATGTGTCTCTGTGTGGGTTTGTGCATGTATGAAGTGCTCTTGGAGGCCAGAGCCATTGAATTCCCCTTGGAACTGGAGTTTCAGGTAGTTGTGAGCTGCCAGACATGGGTCCTAGGAACTAAACTTGGTTGGAAAGATTCTAAGAGCCAGAAGTAGTAAAGGACTTCCTTGTCACAGTGTCACCACAGGGCTGTTTCACACATGAACTTGCAGCACAAGACCTGCACAAGATCAATCTAGTCAAACGGTTATTATTGATCGTTATGACTATTGTGAATAGGATTGCTTACTTGGTTACTTTCTCAGCAGGTTTCTCACTGGTAGGTAGAAGACTTCTGATTTTCCAGGGCTGGTTTCTACTGAAAGTGTTGATCAGTTCTAAGAATATTCTGGTAGTCTTCATGGCAGTCTTGAAATATGGATAATGTGAACCATCACTTGCTATTTGTATCAGTTTTATTTCTTTCCTTGTCTTATTGCTCAAGCTGAGACTTCAAACACTATGTAGAACAAGAACAGATAAATTAGATAGCCTTTTCTTGGTCCTGATGTAGTAGAAATGTTTTGAGTTGTTTTCCATTTAGTATAATGCTGGCTATAAATCTGTTTTCTCTCTTTATTATTCTACCTTCTTTATTATGCTGGGGTCTGTTCTTTCTGTCTCTAGCTTCTTCAGGGACTTTCTCATGAAAGGATGTTCATCTTTTTCCAAGGCCTTTTTAAAACATCTATTGAAACAATCATGTGATTTCTGTTCTTGCATCTATTTATGTGATGAATTACACGTTATTGATTTGCATGTATTCAGCCAGACTTGCATCCATGGAATGAAGCCAAGTTGATTGTGGTGAGTGGTATTTTTCATGTATTCTTCAATTTGGTTTTCAGTATTTCATTAAAAATTTTCATACATATTCACGGAGATTGGCTTATAATTTTCTTTCTTTGTCCTTACCTGTCTTTGAAATGAGGGTTATACTAACTTCATAGAGAGAGGTTGGTAGCATTTTCCCCTGTTATTTTATGAATTATTTTGAGCAGTGTTGATGTTGGTTCTCCAAAGGTCTTGTAGAATTCAGCAGCAAATCAGTCTGGGCCTGGGCTTCTTCAGCTCTGGGGCTTTTGTTATAGCTTCATATGTCAAAATTTTTGTCTGCCAGTCTGTGCGTGAGTTGTTTGTGCATGCATGCATGCATGTGTGTGTGTGTGTGTGTGTACACAGCACATGTATGTGTGCCTGTGTATGCACCTTACAATGTGGTCCCGCATTGCAAGGAACCTACATTTTATGTCCTCACCCCTCTGCTGGTTTTTCACATAACTAGCTTTGAAAATTGATTTTCTTAGTTTGTAAGTAGCTTCTAAGCAGCTTTATAATTATAAACATTCATATTTTAGACATTTTAATGCATATTGTCAGAAAATTTACTCTGGTATGAATGAAAAATCATTAACAAAGCAAAAAGCAGGTGTTTTACTTTCTGTATGGTTTTTAGAGGAAACTGCATGACACAGCTCATAGCCACCGTGTGTGTGTGTGTGTGTGTGTGTGTGTGTGTGTGTCAGAGGACAGCTTTCAGGAGTCTGTTCTTTCCTTCTAAGCACTGTGGGTTCTGAGGTTGCTTGCTCTATTGCTGCTTCATTTTTACTGCTCATTACAGATCTGTTTGTTTATATCCTCTTTAATTTGATGGGTCATATGCGTCTAGAAACGCACCCGTTTCTTTTATGTTTTTCAATTTACTGGAATGTGACTTTTCAATGTATGCCCTAATGATCTTTTGAATTTCATTGGCATCTGTTTTAATGTCTCCCTTTGCATCTCTAACTTTATTAATTTGCTCTTTCTTTTTCCTTTGGTAGTACTGGCTAAGGGTTTCCTTCTTTGTCAATGTTGCTTATTTTAAAAAAATCTCTTTGCTTCATTGATTCTTTGAATTGTTTGATTTCCATTTCGTTGGTTTATGCTCTGGTCTTAATTATATTTTTTTTACATATTGATTTGAGATTTGTCATGTTTTTTTCCTAGAACCTGGATGTGCACCTTGCAGAGCTGTTTTGTGTCTGACAGGTTTTGATATTGTATTTTCATTTTCATTCAGTTCTAGAAATATTTAAAATTCCTTCCTAATTTGTTAGATCACATTAACCATTCAATAGTATGTTGTTCAGTCTTCATTAATTTATGTATTTCTTATAGTTTCTCTAGCTATTGATTCCTGGTTTTATTCCATTGTGATAGGATAGAATACAAGGAATTATTTCAACTTTTTTATTTGTTAAGACTTACATTGTGTCATAAAATGTGGTCAGTTTTAGTAGAAAAATTCTGTGGTATACTCAGACGAATGCACATTCTGAAGTATTCAGGTGGAACATTTTATAGATGTCTGTTGAGTCTATTTGCTCTATAATGCCACTTAAATCATGTTTCTTTCTTGATATTTTTTTTTGTCTGGATGATAATACTGGTGAGAGGGGATATGGCAGTCACCCACTATTACTGTGTTGAGGGAGGTCAGTCTATACTTTTACATTGATTACTGTGTATTTTATGAAATTGGGTACAACGATGTTCTGTGTATGTAATGTCTACACTTGTTATGTGTTCTCGATGGATTGATTGTTCTCTTAATCAATAGGAAATGAACATCCTTATCTCTTCTAATTAATTTTTGTTTGAAGTGTAACACTTTTTCAGGTGTTAGACTATTGACACTGACTTTCTAGTTCCACTTGCTTGGAATGCCTTTTTTCATACATTTAAAAAGATTTATTTCTATTTTAAATTATGTGTATGCACGTGTGTCTTTGTGTAGTATGTGCATGTGGGTGGAGTGCACACAGAGGCCAGAAGATGGCGACAGATCCCCTCGGACTGGAGTTACAGGTATTTGTGAGTCACCTGAAGTAGGTGCTGAGAATTAAACCTGGGTCTTCTGCAAGAGCAGTGTGTGCTCTCAAACTCTGAGGCATCTCTACAGTCTGTTTTCACATTCTTTTCCTTAAGGCTGTATTTGTCTTTTCTGTGAGGTGCTTTTCTTGCAGACAATAAGTAGATCAGTCCTGTTTTGGTTTTTTTGAATCCAACTTGCTAGTCTGTAACTTTTGGTTGGAAAGTTGAGACCATTGACATTCAGAGTTACTACTTAAAGATGATTAATTACTGCCACTGGCTGTCTTCATAATGTCTGATATTTGCCTCATTTGCTTATTTTCTGTGCTGGGGGAAGTTTATTATTTCCTGTGATCTCAAGGATATGTTTTTTTCTCTTTAGTGTGTAGGATTCTCAAGTGTCTTCTGTAGTGTTTGCTTAGTAGTCATAAATTGCTTTAGTTTGTGTTTATCGTGGAAACAGTTGTGAAGTACAACTTTGTTGGATAAAATAATTTGGATTGTGGGGGGCTGGAGAGATGGCTCAACAGTCAAGAGCACTGGCTGCTCTTGTAAAAGACCCACTTTTGAGTCCCAGCACCTACATGGCAGGTAACAACCATCCATAACTCCAGTTCCAGGGGAATTTGATGCCCTCTTCTGACCTCTGTGGTCATTGCATGACATGGGTGCACATACACACATGCAGGCAATATACTCATACACATAGACAATAACAATAAATAAAAATTAAAAAAAATAATTTGGGTTGGCAGCCATCATCGTTTGGAGCTTAGACTATATTATTCCATGGCCTCTTAGATTTTAGGGTTTCTGTTAATAAATCTGCTGTTATTCTGACGGATTTGACTTGTTTTTTCACTCTTACTACTTTCAATATTTTTTCTTTGTTCTACATACTTGTTGTTTTAGCTATAATGTGATTTTGAATGTTCTTATCTGGTCTTGTCAGTTTGGTATTCTAAATGACTCCTGACTCTGAATGGCTGACCTAGGTTGCTTTCTGTTGCTATGACAAATACCATGACCAAAAGCAACTTGTAGAGGAGGGTTTATCTGGCTTACAGGTCCATTATCAATGGAAGCCAAAGTAGGAACTCAAGGCAGGAACCTGGAGGGAGGAACTGAAGCCGAGACCATGGAAAAACACTGCTTTACTGGCTTCCTTCCCTGAAGATCTTAAGGGAAGATCTATCTTAAACAGCCCAGGCCCACTTGCCTAGGGATGGCCTAGTGAGCTGGGCCCTCCTACATTAATTAGAAATTGGGAGAATGCCTCACAGATATGGCCGCAGACCAAGATGATCTGGAAGATTCGTCAGTTGAGCTTCCCTCTTCCCAGATGACTCTAGGTTTGTGTCAAATTGACTGCAGAAGCTACCTATGACAGTGACCATCTCGTTTCCTAGATTTGGGAAAATATTTGCTATGACTATTGAATATAGTTTCAGACAAAGATTTCAAAAGAACAATGAAAAGAATGCTCAGCTAAATTAGAGGGGACAGGAATTAACTCTATAACTGATTCAAAGAAAATAAAAATAACAGAATGAACTAAGGACATTTATGTAGGATTAACACCTTTATAAAAGGCTCAAGAGAGACCCCTCACACACTCTACCATGTGGGGTTGCACTGATAATAAAGATCTCTTTGAACCAGGAAGAGGTAGGGCCTCACCAGACACCAACTCTGCTGATGTCATGATCTTAGAGTCCCCCTATTCTAGAACTGTGAATATGAATTTCTGTCATTTCTAACAATTCTTCTACCTGGCTAACAGTGTTCTATTATAGCACCACATAGACTGGGACAAAAAGCAGCAGTGTTCTGTTACTGGCCATTTATTCATCTGTAAGATGACAGAGGGTCAGCTTGGGTGATGTTCTAATTTTTTTTAGCTTTGACACTTTATTATTGCATGGAATGACTTGTGTACTCATTCATTATATATTTGCATCATTTTTGAAAACAAGTATTAGGATAAAAACCTGTACTTACTTCCCCTCCAGAGCAAGAGTTTGAAGAATGAAGAGAATAATGTAATTCTCAATAATCTCAGAATTTTTGCTAAAATTATTTCTTTCTTGGCTGTTCACTCAAGAGTCTGTTTAGTGTGCTGCCATGTTATCAAAAAGTAGTTCTTTCTTCCAATATTCAATCGTTCATTGAGCTCCATTGTGCATTTTTGGAACAGAAAAGATACAACACAAATGTCCTCTAGTAAACACTGAATGATGCTTTGACCTACATAAGGCACTCTTTCCTTTAAGAAAAAAGCCATTTTCTAACCCCTTGGCAAGTACATCATCATCATCATTATTATTATTATTATTATTATGATTGCTGGAAAGTGGGTACTTGTCAGGGAAATTGGTGCACCATTTATTCAACACAATATCGTGTCATTAGGTCTTTAGTGTCTCCCTGGAGGTAAATGGTCTGTTTTCACTTTATGAGCTAACATTTCTATCGAAATGACTTTAAGGTCCCATTTACTTTGTTATAAATATACTAAGATCGATTTGGTAAAAGGATACAATTTAGTGGTGCACATGGTGTCCAGATTAAGTAGAAAATGGCTCAATAAATATCTTGGGCATGATTATTTTTTAAAACCTCTGTAAAACAAAGAATTTCAAAGGTGGCCAACTGGATTGGTCATCCTTTTAAGAAGAAAGTTTAGAACATTTTTCCCTGAAATATTTTAATGGATGTCATTTATTAAACAGCATGCTTGATCATTTGGAATAGTCCTTAGTACTTTCTTGACTTAAAATATGATTTTTACCTACTGAGATTATTTTTGAAATGGCAGCAATATTATTTACACTTTTCTAAGATTATTTTATCTCTCTCTGTGTGTGTGTGTGTGTGTGTGTGTTCACATGAGTGTGGTGCTTGTGTAGGGCAGAAGAGGGCATCAGATCCTTTGGAGCTGGAGTCACAGGTAGTTGTAAGTCACTCGATATGGGTTTTGGAATTTGAACTTGGGTCCTCTGGAAGATCAGGAAGTGTTCTTAACAACTGAGCCATCTCTCCAGCCCAGCAATAATATTTTTAAGGTGTCATTTATCATTTGGTGGTGAAAGTTATGAATTATATGAGCTCTGGTCAGTTATCATCCAAAAGGCAGGAGTCTGTATGAAATGGAAAATTTTTGTTATTGTTATATTACCAAATATAAGTGATGTGACACAGCCCCTAGGATGTGATCAAAGTATACTTAGATTGTTTATAGAAGAGAACCCTTCAAATAAATCTAGTGGTACTGAAATTTGTAGATACATTCTATATTTAAAATTAGCTTATGCCGGTATGGGGCCAGTCTTAAAACTGTAAAGAACTGCTCATTTAGTGACCCTGACACATCCTCAGGCCTGTGAATGGTTTACACCCCTATATCATGACACTCAGATTATAATTCCCATTTTAAAATGTGGAAAGAGAGGCCTAGGCAGATACGATGGCTTGTTGGAGCTCCTGGCCAGGTCAAATTAGGTTAGAATCTAGCCCCTGCCTGTCCCCAAAGCTTCACTGTTGATTATGACATCTGTTTTTCTATAATAGTCTATTTACTTATTCAGTTTTAAAGCATGTTCCTCTCTATGATTTATATCTCTGTACTTAACAAATGTCAAGGTACTCAGTAATTGGAATTAAGACACTTTAAACAAAACATTTACTAAATAGATTATTTTACAAGAAAGACAATTGTAACAACTTTACATGTTTAATTTTAAAGGTGGTGCCTCATTGGATCTTAAAGCCTGTCCTCCTAAACCATCAAAATGGATCCCGGACATGACTTGGCTGAATTTGGTGGAACTTAGCAAACTTAGACAGTTTTCAGACATCCTTGACCAGGTGACTTGTTTTTGAATATGCCTAACTAGTGTCCTAGTGAGCAGCTTGTCACTACAGTGTTTGTGGAGGAGAGATGTGCTTCCCATTTCCTCCCTTAGAAGGTATGGCCTATGCTTGGCCAGCTCCCAGCTCATCCACACTCTGATAAAGCAGAGGTGCCCACTGAACACTGCCTGTGATGGAAGAAGAGTGCCTAGGAAGTTGAATTGATATCATCTTGGTCCACGAATCAGTATCACCAAATGAAGACATATAGATAGGAAGATCGATGGATTCGATTAGTTTGCATGCATAACTGAATGCTTATGTTCCTTTTAGAGATTAAATGGAAGACATATGAACAGTCTTCCTACTAAATGACTTTTCTTGCCTTTTGTCCTTCTCCTTTCTCTTCCTCTCTAGCTTCTTCCAGTTACATCTTAGTCAGACAGCTCTGAACTTGTCCTTTACCTTTAGAACCACTGTCCTTTAAGACTCATTAAGTTCCCACTGATTAGCATATGTGCTGGGATAGTGGAAGTTGAATATAGACAGCTAATTTAGGATGAGGCAGGAAGGATGTTATTAAATATTTGGTGATCATAGAGAAGAGAGATTGATGGCAAGTTTGGATTTTCTTTTCTTTCTGTTTTTTTTTGTTTTTATTTTGACCAAGTATTATGAGCTTATTTTTTTACTTTGACAGTTCAAGTTCACCAGATGCTTAAATTCTGCTTGTATTTTTATATTTTGGTTTACAACTGGTGATGCTTGCTGTTTATAACATGAAGTTGAGGTGCAATCTATTATTTTAGGTTAAATAATTTATTTTGAGGGATATTACTGAACACTGGTTTATTCTCCCATGAGGAGATCCCAGGAATATTTCCTGAATCATCATGGGCAGAGACTGCGGCCTCTGGAGAGTATGTCATATGTGTGAAATCCCACCACTTTATATAGCCTTTCATGATTGAAGCAGATTAATTTTTATTCTTAGACATGTACATGGGACCATTCTTCCTCTAATTAGTCTAAGATATATATTTGAGGCTTTCATCAAAGGGATTATTTATCAGATGGTATATAATTCTATTAATTCAAAGATTTTATTTATTTATTTATTTATTTATTTATTTTTGAAGCAGGGTCTCCCTGTAGCCCCAGCTGTCCTGGATCTCACTATGTAGACTAGACTGGCCTTGAACTCACAGAGAACCACCTGCTTCTGTCTCCAAAGTGCTGGGACCACAGGCGTGCACTACCATGTCCGGCTAAAGATATTTATTTAAAAAAAAACAACAACAACTTTGAGACAGGGTTTCACTATGCACCATTGACTAGCCTGGAACTCACTTTGTAGACCAGTCACAGAGATCTGCCTTTCTCTGTCTCCAAAGTACTGGGATTAAAGGTGTGAACTCTCATGCGTGACCTTTGTTTCAAGTTTTTGATATGCCTGCCTTTGTAAGGCTTGTCTTCACTGGTTTCAGAGCTCTGAAGGGTAATGTACTATGGATCTCTTTACCAATTGGCTACAGGTAGCAGATGTCTGACCATCCATTTGGTGGTGATATTAAATGTCATATCTAAATGTACTTTAGATCAATAGAATATTGACCTTAATACTGTTTATTCAATAATAAATATGTATTAAATGTTTTCCTTTGTGTCACGAGTAGTCCTAGAAAATGAGGAAACATGAATGAATATGGTTTGGTTCCTGATTATAAGAGGATTTTGTGCAGCAAATCAGACTTCCTTGAAATAATGAAAATGGGTCTCTATTGATTCTTTACTCTCTCTAGATTTGTTACTATAAAGGCAGAGATGAAATCAAATATCATAGGACCCTTCCTACGTTGGAAGCCAACTGTAGACTAGTGTTAATATAGACTGATTTTTAGAGCAAGTGATATTTGATCTTAGACAATCAGGCATTTTGGCACTAGGCTATAAAGTTTAAAAATAGTGAAATGCTATAGCTCACACTTGTCTAGAATGTTCAGAAAGTTTGATGGAAAGTGTCTATGAGCTATTACTGAAAGATTTTTGCCTGACATGACACATTTCTTATCCCATGATTTTTTAGATATCAAGAAATGAAAAACTGTGGAAAAATTGGTTTGATAAAGAAAACCCAGAAGAGGAGCCTCTTCCAAATGCCTATGATAAATCCCTTGACTGCTTCAGACGTCTTCTTCTTATTAAGTCCTGGTGTCCCGACAGAACCATTGCCCAGGTAAAGGTCCTATTACAGGGAAACATCAGAGAATGTTCTGAAGGGAAATTCTCTTTAAATGTAAAGAAGTATTGAAATGTTATTAACAATAAGAATTTCCTTGTAGGTTTCTGTTCAATTTTCTAGTAAGACAAATGTGATAAATGGAAATATAAACAAGAAGTAAAGTACTGAGGTGCACACTTGGCTATGTGATTTATTAAATCCTTTTGGTCCATTGGTGTAACAAAAGCAAATGAGAAATCATGATTCTGAGCTTGTCGTGACAGCATCACATAAAGGCAATGTACTGGTCTCATGCATCACTTTTATAATAACTCAAAATTATATGACTGCTCTCTTTTGCTAAGTAATAAATCAGTGTTTTTAAGTAGGAAAACATTAGCGATAAAGCCGTCTAGAGGGAAGGATATGATCTTAAGCCCATGGTCGTTTCCTCAGATATAGTCATAATTCTGGATGCAAAGAAGCAGATTGTTCTAGAACTGTCTGAATCTCACACGTGGTTTAAATGTGCATTACTCCTCCAAAAGATTCATCTTTTTAAGACTTTTAGTATTCTGCTCTGATACCATGAACATTTACTCACTGAAAAACTAGATACAGAGCCTGCTTTCACAATTAAAACGTTAATATTCAGCACAGGTAGACTCATTAAGTGCCTCTGCAGAGAAGCCATGAAGTAGAATATGCTGGACTCTGTAATAGAGAGGGGTGTGTTCCCCTTTATTCTCCAGAAAGTGTTAAAAGCATAGAGTAATGGCCCCCAACTCCACTTAGGTACCACAAAAACCAGGAAAACAGCTAGATATAAAGATTTATTGAGAAAAGAAAAATGAGTTTTGCCACTCGGGGCACTGAGATCACTCTTCTGTTCAGTTTTCACGTTCAAGTTCATTACTTTTATTCTGCCCAAATGAATTGTCAAACAGTTGCATTATTTCAGGTCAGTGTAGAAGGGAAGTCCCAAGTGTAGTAGTTTTTTTTTTATCCTTGGCTCCCTCCCTTCCTTCTTCCCTTCTTTCTTTGCATAGAAAACATTGACTTTCAAAGTTAGAATGAAGGTCTACAAAGCTCCCTGAAATGTTGCCATTCTTATCTGGCTCTGTTATCCCAAAACCTATCACAAGTATGAACATACTGATCATGCTTTGCTCCTTCTTGCCCACTCTGGTCCATCTTCTATATTCTAAATGAAATGGAAAGAACCTTGCCTTTCTCAGCTTTTCAAGTCCTTCAGTGGCTCCCATGACCTGCTCAATAACAATTCCTAAATTAAGGTCTGGAAATATATTATGTCCTCTGGCGTTCTTATTCTCACTTTAGAGTTCTTTTAAAATTTCAAGTCAGCCTACAATGTTGATACATCAGTTCCCATTCCTGGTAAGCAGCCCCAGACCACTACTGCTCTCTGCATTTTGGCTGAGTGTGACTAGCCACATCATCTGCCTGGCTGCAAGAACACTTCACTTTCAGAAAATACCTCATGCTCCATGCACACCACAGAGGGAGGTCAGTAGACATGTGGAAGCTCCTGAGTTCATTTTTTCCCAGCTCAAAGGCTGAGTCTGCCTAATTGTGACCAGATGGAGCAGAATGTTCCTTGGAGTTGGAATCACTTGTGAAAATATGGCACTTTACTTTCATTCATGCCAATGAGGTGTGGTGTTTCTATAGATTGGAAGGCTGTGCAGACAGCCTGGCAGGGCTACACTAAATGAATTGTACTGGATGTCCCCTATTCCCAGGAGATGACTTTCTCTGTTTTTTTTTTTTAATGTTTATTTATTTATATTTATGTGTGTGTGTGCCTGAGTGTGTGTTATGTGTACCACATGAGTGTAGGTGGTCTCAGAAGCTAGGAAATGGTGTTAGATCACTTGGACCTGGAGTTACAGGTAGTTTTGAATTGCCTGCTAAGGGTCCTGGGAATTCAACCTAGGTCCTCTGTGAAAGCACAAAGTGCTCTTAACTACTGAGCTGTCTCTCCAGTCTACCCCTTCTTTTAAACTTGCTCTTTTCTGTTTCGAAATTCCTTCACGTGTCCACTGCATGAAGTACTCATCACGCTGACATTCCTTTTTCTGGGTAGAGCCCACTCACACTCCAAGCTTCAGCGTAAGTGCTTTTGTTAAGCAAGCCTTCTTCTTTGCATTTCTACAAGATTAATTGGTTTTGCAATTGCACGCCACCTGCAGGATGTAAACTCTCCTCACTATTTCTGGGTCATTGGATGCCTAATCCTGAGAAGAAGCAGGATGCTTCTCTGCTTCTCATACCTGTCACACATCTGGGACAGAGGAGGAAATTGTTAAACCAAAATTCATATCTACTGTATAAACGGAATTTGTAGGGATGGAGAGATCTAGTAATGGCTCATATTATGCTCCTGTCAGCCCAGGGAGGTGATTCATGGTGTTGGGTGGAAGTTGAAGTAAATAAGATGATGAAATACACTCTCACACATGCTGTAGTTTCACATCAGAGGCTTATCTAGAATTGCAGAGTATCCTTAAGTTATACACAATTACATCAAAGACTCTACTGCAATCCTCCCTTAGACTTGAAGCCATTTGGGAGAAATGGCTACGACCCTGAGAATGCCTCTTTTTCCCAGGAATAAGAATTACACAGTAGCAATTCGGTCATAATTTCTACTACAAGTAAGATAGCTTTGTCTTTGTTTTTCCAGGAGTTACAAAAGGAGAGCTCCACTTCCCCACAAACTTGGTCACTACCTGTTCAAATAGCTCATGAGCTAATAATAACTTTTGTATTTTTAAGTGCCTGGACAAAAATCACAAGAAGAGTATTTTATGACGTGAAAATCATGAGCATTCAAATTTCACTGTTTGTAGAACTTTTAAAAGATTTCTTTCTTTTTTATTATCAAATAATAATTGTATAGGATTTTATTACATATATACTTTGTAGAATAATGTAATCAGGCTGTTAATAAGTACATAAATATGTCCATTTGTTTACTATCTGTAGCTGTTTCTGTGCTACATGATTGGAATGGCTGAATAGCTGTAACCAAGATCATGTGAGCAGGAGCTTCAATTATTTGCCATGTGGCCCCTGATGCACTGTAGCTTGAAGCTCGTGGCTTTTATGGCAGTATCCATGTTGGGGCCATGTTGGGTTTTATGGTGATATCAACTGTATTGAGCTTCTCACTGACCTGACATAGGAAACACTTGAATCTGGATGAGACACACTATGGAGATACTGTAATGATGGCTGTATCAGTTTCTGAGAAGGAACGGTAGCTGTGGAATGCCCAAGCGCCCAGCCTTTGAAGTGCTTCCTGACTACAGAGCTTATTGCTTCAGTGATTCAAAATTTGTGCATAGAATAGACTTCTGACGATGTCAATGAATATGTTAGATTTTAAAATACCTGCCAGAAGTTGCATAAAGATGTACGGGCGTAGAGACTGGGCTTTCATGCTGGATCTTACCACCTTAGAAAACACAGCAAGCAGTATGAAAATAATCGCATCTTGTGCCTCAAATTCAATTAGAAGGAACTACAACTCTTTAGAACACCTCTCAGCCACTGAAACTAGTACAAGGGCAGATGGTCAGAATGGAGATCCTTTCCATGACTGGAAGGCAGAGGCACTGACTGGTTATTTCATTGCCACTGGCCTAGTCCTGTTAATAAGGAAGGGTGGTGACCAGAAACTTCATGGACCTATGGGAAACCAAGCAAGCTGCTTTCCCCAACGTCACCTAGAGATAGTTTCAAGACAAGAAAACTTGTGTACTCTACTAAATCAGCATGCTTTAATCTTCAACTTGTGATGGACTGGACAGTGTGGTGTGTGGGGGGAGGGGTGGATGGAGGCTTGGAACTTGAGAAGGTGGAAAAAAGACCCATAGCAAAATGTTCTAGTACTTTCTTATGAGTAGCTTTGAGTTTATGGAATGGAAACACTGATCTCTTTTAAAATTATTGTGTAGAGGATGGCTATTTCATAGCATATTTCTTTCAAAAGATGCTATTCACTCTCTTATCCAAGGGATGAAGCTCATTTGGGGGCTATGTATCAAGGAAACCCAAAGCAGAACCACTCTGGATATTCAATGGTCTTTACTCAGTTGTCACTCGTGTCCCCTCTTGTAAAGATAGCAGAGATCTCCAGAGGCCGTGGGATTCCCTTGTCATGGCCACCACCCTTCCAGGCTAAGCTGTAAAGAGAACAAACACTAATGAGGAACGTTGTGCCAGTGTGTAAATTCAGAGACCTGGCTTCACAGTCATTATGAGGATGAAGAGCAAGGGCCAAAGCTGAGGGAAGATAGTGTGATAATGCTGAAATCGAACTCAGGATGCCTTTGTACCAAAGATAACAGTTTAACCAGTCTACTGCTCCTGAGTCCAGGTCTGTCTCAAACCTTACTGAGTCAAGTGGAGCTGTGTCTCAATTCCTCCAGGAGTAGGATTGAGTGGGCTCATTACTGACCCTTGAGAAGGCTAAACTTAATGTTGAGCCTACAGCTGGGTTCTGCTTGTTTTGTGAGCATGATTGGTCTGGGGAATCTCAACTTGAGTTGGGAGAGGACACTGGAATTCCAGGACAGTTTTTTGGCTGGGTGGGGTGAGGTAGAGAGTTCATTTATTTGTGAGGGAGAGAATAGAGAATAGGATTATAATTACAAGACTGTTGAAAAAATAACTAATTCCTTTAGCTTTGCTATAAAAAGGATACTAGAAGCCAGGCATGGTGGCGCACGCCTGTAGCCCCAGCACTTGGGAAGCAGAGGCAGATGGATCTCTGTGAATTCAAGGCCAG